GGGGGGACGGTGTCCCCCGGGAGCTGGGCACACCCATCCGCTGGAAGCACGTCCAGGCCGGCGGTTTGTCCTGCTCGCCGTGCCGCCGCTGGGCTGCGGGACAGGAGGAGAGAAGAAGAGGAAGGTAACGGGGCTGTCGCGGCACGTGGGGCCGTTACTGCGACGCCAGGCATGCCAGGGCCCGCGCCAGCCTGCCCCTCTCCTACCTGCCCTCCCCGGGCCTCCCGCGGCACCCGGCCGTTTCTGCAGCCTCAGCTTGGCTGGCGCCGTTCCCGTGCCACAGAGGAGCTGTTCCGAGGGCCGGCGTTACTGTAGAGCTGGAGCGTTTGTTGACTGCTTCTCCCAGCCCAAGCCATATCTCGTTTGTGATAAATGTTATAGCGTATCAACAGAATTTGACGCTGAGACCCCTGCTTCTTTGCAGATGGTGCACTGGTGAACGAGCTGTACAGTTTGCTTCGTGATCACGATCCTATTGTAGTCGTGAATTGTCTGAGGGCCTTAGAAGAGATCTTGAAGAAAGAGGGAGGAGTGGTGATTAACAAACCCATTGCCCACCATCTCCTCAACAGGTTTGTTTTCTTGGAAGCTTCGTTCTTGTCCTTGGCATTTTGCATGGTAATAAAGCAGGTATTTCTGGGCTCTGGTCAGAACCTGAAGGGAAGAGTTGGGCACTGAAAACGTAAGTGCCCATCCCAAGAGAAGCCAAATTACTTCTGTGTTAAGATCTCTAGAGAAATCTGGGATGCCCTGCTTTTCCAGGGAGTCTTTGCTTCAGCTGATGATTTGTTTTGGAATTGTACGTTAATGTGATTGGGTTTGGGGTGTTTTTTTTGGTGACAGTATATACGAGATATTTGCAGGACAGGTATGTTCTAGTATGTCTCTCCTAATCTGTTGAGAGATATATATCTTATTCATTGCTTGAAGAAATTAACTTTTTTGCAGATAATTCTACATGATCTGGCAAAAGAGCCGTATTGCTCTGCCCTGGGTTCTTGTCAATGTTGCAGAAGTGCATGTGCCTGATACTGGGTTAAGACTATGTGCATAAACTGGTTAATTCCTTTGAGAAAAAATTGTGGAATCTACTTTTGAAGCACAGCGTTTGGTTTGGAAAAGAGAACATAAGAAACTCAGAGGCTAAGGCCTCTGCTCTGCGCACCGCAGATCTCCGTGTGCTTCTTGACTCCTGCAAACCGTGTTTATTCTCTTGGCAGGATGGTGGATCTGGATCAGTGGGGGCAAAGTGAGGTGCTTACCTTCCTTCTGCGTTACAGACCCCGCAGTGAGGAGGAACTCTTCGACATACTCAATTTACTGGATGGCTATCTCAAAAGCAGCAGCCCCAGCGTTGTGATGGCAGCCACCAAGCTTTTCCTAGTGCTGGCCAGGGAGTACCCACATGTGCAGGCAGATGTTTTGGTGAGAGTGAAGGGGCCGCTGCTGTCTGCCTGCACCTCTGAGAGCAGGGAGCTCTGCTTCACTGCGCTGTGCCACGTGCGTCAGATCCTCGGTAGCCTTCCTGGCCATTTTAGCAGCCACTACAAAAAGTTCTTCTGTTCGTATTCAGAGCCCCACTACATCAAATGCCAGAAGATGGAGGTGTTGTGCGAGCTGGTGAATGATGAAAACGTACAGCAAGTGCTGGAGGAGCTGAAGGGCTATTGCACGGATGTATCGGCAGAGCTTGCCCAAGGGGCAATCTTCGCCATAGGTGAGAGCCGCGTCTTGCCTCGGGAGCAGCAGCAGCCCTAGACCTTGAGGCTGGGCCTTTCTCTGCCGACGGGTGTCTGGGCAAATGCCAAATAACCGATGTGTGCTGAGGCAGCACAGCCCTCTGTAGACCGGCCTCCCCAGGAACTCCACCGGGTAAATTGGTGAGTCAGCACCATCCCGAGCAGGGATAGCGAATTCCTGCTCCCCTGGCCAAACCCCCGTTTATATACTGAGCATGAGCCTGTGGTACGGAATATTGCATTGGCCATTCCATCGTTCTGTCTGTGCTCCTCAGCTTCTATGGGAGGCTGAAAAAAGTAGTTGAAATTATAAATGTCATCCAGTAACAACTAAAACAATGTGCATTATTGACCTTGTACCACATGTGAAACATAGCAGCCACTAGAAAGAAAATTAACCCTATCCCAGCTGAAACCAGGACAATGTGTAAGAAAAGTTCAGACTACTTCTGAGGGATGGCTTCAGAAAGAGGAACCCATCCCTCGTGTGGAGAACAAGCTCGTTCGGCTCACTTTCAGAAATCGTAGTCAAAAAGGAAAAGGGAAAGACTTTCTTTAAAGTGAGTTTGTGATGAATAGTTGGGCTCATGATTCCTATTTCACCCTGGTAAAAGGTTGACTTTTATGTCCTTTGGTGTCTCTGCAGGCAATATTGCTCGGACATACACAGAACAGTGTGTGGGGATCCTGACAGAGCTCCTGGGGCTTCAGCAGGCGCCGATCACTTCAGGTGATCACTGCAGGTTGTTTGCCTGGCTTATGCTTCCAGAAAGCGGCTTGCTGGGGCTTGTGATGCCAAACGCGAGGCCCTGGAAGGCACTTGGTTTTTTATTTAATTGGCATCTGCAGGTGGAAGTCTTCCTGGTGGAGGGGGGGACACACACATAGTGTGACCCGACATTGTAGTTTTTCCTTCCTTAGGAACTACTGTTTGTAGTGAAGGGGGAGACGGTCATAGCTGCATTCATGATCCGGTGTGGCGGCTCCTTCCTGGCTGCCACCTGCTGACTTAGGGAGTGAGGGACTCGGCAGAGACATTTCAGTGACTGTTTATGAGGGCCAGGATGATTAACAGATCTGATTTTGAGTTCTTTCTAACTGGGACTCTTAGTCTGTGTCTTTTAAATCTTTATGATTTCTGTTCCTCGTATAATAGTCTGATTCGGTTGTACCCAGGCTTCTCTCCTTCTGCTGCCCTCGGATAAACTTTGTATCATTGCTGTTTCTGCCCTCTCTTTTAAATGGTCGTGCTTTCAGTTTTGCAAATCACAAGCTTGCACTCAGCTGCTGAATTCTTAGGAGCTGCTGGTGTTTCTGTAAGTAGGCAGCAGAGCCTTTAAAATTTTGACCTAAAGTTCATGAGACTCATTTTGAATTGGTGTTAGTTTTAAGTTGTCATTCTAACCGCATGCGTCTGAAGCACCATGAGTCAGTGTCTTTTTAAAGGCTGGGGAATATCCAGAAGAGAGATTACTTTCCAGCAGCCAGAGGAACAGCCTGGAGTTTCGGTGCTTTATTTTAGACTTGGTGCAACTTTGCTCTGACAAACACAATGTCATGGGACTTTGAAGAAGGGTGTCTCAAGTCATGGTCACAAGCATGGCACTGACCTCCCTAGCTAAGATTTGCAAAGTCTCAAGTGGGGTTTTTTTGAACAAGCTTTTTTTCCCGCTAGTGGTTTTTAACTCTTGGGGAATGCTGAGCATTTTGTTTCATTGCAGCGGTAGTTCAGGCTTTTCGGGACCTGGTTTGGCTGTGTCCCCAGTGCACGGACGCAGTGTGTCGGGCACTGCCTAGCTGTGAGGACGCCATCCAGGACAGTGAGGTAAGGTGGCTTTGCGCTGTGGGCTGGCAGCTGTTGAGGATGGGTGGACAATGACTGTTTTGGCTTTCCTTTGGGTTGTGATTGGCAGGATAAAGATCAGAAATCTTCAACAGACTTGTTCTCTCATGTCTGTTTATTTCACATCAGCACTCTTTCTGGTAAGCAGTGGCTATTTGCTAGTTTTCTGTGGTTCCTTCAGGGCAAGCAAGCGCTGATCTGGCTCCTGGGTGCACACGGTGAGAAAGTTCCGAATGCCCCCTATGTTTTAGAGGAGTTTGTGGAGAACGTGAAATCAGAGATTTTCCCAGCAGTGAAGATGGAACTTCTGACAGCATTGGTGCGACTCTTCCTGTCTCGTCCTGCCGAGTGTCAGGACACGCTAGGGAGGCTGCTCTATTACTGCATAGGTGCGTTCCCTTCATTGTGTTTTCCTGAAGCTGCAGTACTGGCTTTTGGGGACCTGGTTTGGCTGTGTCCCCAGTGCATGGATGCCATGTGTCAGCGTCCTAGCTGGGGGGGGCGTCCAGGATGGCACAGTAAGGTGGCTTTGTGCCTTAGGCTGCTACTTGGCCCCCAGCTGTCTGGTTGGTGAGTGTAACAGGTTTACACTGTATCGCTGGAAATCTGGTTTTAGTAATTAACGGTTAGTATTTCAGGGAAATCCGGATGATAGAATTCTCCATAAATCATGTCCCTCTAATTCCCAGAGGAGGAGATGGATATGGCAGTACGAGACCGTGGATTGTTCTACTATCGCCTTTTGCAGTCTGGGGTGGAAGAAGTGAAACGGGTCCTGTGTAGCCCCAAGTCTGACCCCTCTCTTGGGCTCCTGGAAGACCAAACTGAGCGACCTGTGAATACATGGGCTTCAGAGTTTAATACTCTTGCACCGGTTTATGGCAGAGAATGCTGGGCACTTGTCACTGCTCACCAGCCAGCAGAACCCTCTTATGCTTGTTCTCCTTGTACTGACTCCAGGAACAGAGACACAGGTAACCTGCCTCGCCTTCACCTGGGATCCGTTTTCCCCTTGTTTGTAGGTGTTCTCACATGGGTGTCTTTGGAAGAAGATCACAGTGCTTTGAGAATGCTGTCCTAGTGTTCTCGCTATCTTGTGCAATGCATGGCTGATACCGCTGAAGGCACTGTGATTCCAGCCCTCTTCATCTGAGAGCTCCATAAGACGTTCTTTGTGAAATTGGGAGCTGCACCTTGTATGCTGCATCTCACATGTTTGCGGTTTCATTTCAGAGTCACTGATTCCAGAAGGGAATAAAGAAGTCCTCAAGGTTCATCCTGATACAGGCAGCCTGACCTTAATTCCTGATGTTTACCTGACTGCAGAACAGTTTGAGAAGATCTGGCTGAGCTTGGACGTGAGCTGCCGCCTCTCTCTGCCCTGGTGTGGGACTGTTCACCCGGATACCGTACAGACGGCTCTTCACGTTGTCCACATCCAGACTATTGCTATGAGCAAAGCTGGCATCCAGCCGTGGAAAGCTTATCTCAGTGCCCAGGATGACACAGGCTGCCTCTTCCTAACAGAGCTCTTGCGTGAGGCGGCAGATTCAGAGATGCAGGTTTCGGTGAAGCAGAGTGAGGCAAAGCCGGAGGCGCTGAAAGCCTTTATTTCAGCATTGAGGACAGTCGTGGGGGCAGTTGCTGGACTGGGGTCCTGATTGGAACTGCTCCCAGTAGGACGCTTGCTCAGGCCACAGGAAAAGTTTCTTTCTCTGGCTTCATTTGCCATACTTGCTAATGATTTTGTACTTTTAAACTGCAGGAGTGTTAGCAGCCCTTTCCTGGAGCAGAGCTGGGCTGAGCAAGCACATGTGGTGGGGGCTGGTGCCTGGGGCAGGGTGGAGGGTCTGTTCCCCCTCTGGGCTGGGAAGGGACAAGGGAATGTGTTCGTGAGCGTGAGCCCGCTGCTTCTGGCGTGAGTCACAGAAGTGGTGGCATCTATGGTGATCGTCACGAGACACTAATGTCACTGGAACCAGAAATGGGCAAAATTTAGGGATGTGTTTTGGGGAGTTTTTTGGTGAGAATTGTAAATAACTCAAAAACCAGTTCAGAGACTCCAGGACTCTGCTCTTTATCTCGCACTAAGAGGGACAGTGCAGTAAGGAGAGAAGTATTTAGTTCTTGGCTCCCTTTACACGTGATTTAGTTTTCTGTCTGATGGATGGATTTCGGTAATAGCTTCACTTACGGGTGAGCGGAGCTCTGCTGTGTCAGAGACGGGTGGACAGGGCACGTTGTGCTCGCTGGAACCGACATGTTTCTTTTTCAAGAGAAAGAAGTGTATGTTCTAGTTGAAATGTATTACTGCAATCGTGACTCGCCCTCTCTAAAATTCCCCCCTCGGGGCTACTGTAAGAAGACGCAGAAGTGTGCAGGTTGTGTATGATGTGTGTGTGTGAGTTGATGTGGTGTGAGTTCTGTAGCCTGCATCACTTTGGCCGTGGCAGTGAGCCGTCCGTCCTTGGTACTCACACCAGTAATGGAAGAATTGCTGTTTAGATAATTAACCTGTATGGAATTTTAAAATTTTGCTCATACTGCTTTTTACCATTTGTTACTTTGTAACTAGAATGGGTATTGAAAGGTTTATTTTCTGTGTCATACTTATTTCTGCGCAGTACTGTCATCCTGCCATCGCAGTACAGTACCCGGCACGGCGCACTGCTATGCGACTACATTTTTGCAGTTTTTAAAGTTATACTCTGTCCCACCTCGGGACTTGTTTTTTGAAGGGCATCTCGACAGCACCGCATCTGCGCTATGGAAAGTTATGGAGTGTCGGACTTTGCACTGTGTTGCGAAAAGTGTTCTTGTCACAGCCATGTTTTACAGAGCCCCGAGGAAGGCTCCCGGCAAAGGTTGAGGTACATAAGCTCCTGTAACGGGGCTTTATGGTACTCTGTGAGGAGTGGCTTCGTTAACCCTCTCTGTCAGATTTCTTGTAATTTTTCATTTCCTTTAATGGTCATATTGTACCTTTAAATTGCAATATGCCTTCCAGGCACTTCACCAAAACACTGCTGTTACTGTTAAACAGCAGGTTTTAGATTTTATTTCTGATTTTCCTAATAAAAATGTGCATCATTCCTGGCTGTTTTCTGGAGTACTTGTTTGGTCAACGGAAGTCTGCGGGATGGAGTCATCCGATCACTACGGTGGATCCGGAGAGAACTGCATTCCAGCTCCTGACTGTGTCAGACAGGGCTTTTTCTCTCTCGACTTCCTTGAAGCAAGGCTTTAAGGAGCAATTGTGCAACAATTTATTTCAGTCTCGTGTGCCAAATTACTGTAACAGGTGAGCTACCTCCGGGTGAATTCAAAGGTAGATAAGAAGTCGGCCATAGCAGGGCTCCCATTAACAGTTTCCTGTGTCTTTATGCATGTCATATTCCTTTCCTTATGGAGAGCTGCATTGGAGCACTGGCATGCAGTTTTCAGAAAAAAAATAGTTGATAGCTCGTTGGCAAACCATCATTTCCTCAGCTGTGGCTGGACTGAGTCTAGTCTGTCTGGGACAGGACTTGGAGATTCCAAGCCTTTACGTTTCCTGATGAATGAGCAGGCCAGCAGTTCGTGATAACTTGTAAATGTTTCACTTGATCTTAACAGAAGGGGCTCATTTCAAAGCTAAACCACTCCCATAGCTTGCATGACGACAGTTAAGAGAGCAAATATTGGCATGTTGTGCTGTCCTGGGGAGGAGTCGGGGGTTATGCTCTTCCTAGAAGGAAGAACCTGTGCAGTGCTGGGGAAAGGAAGCCAAAATCCGCCATCAAAGCTCACCTGTGGAGGAGAGCGGCGGCGGCACGCAGGGGAAGACGCACTGCAATGGGAAACTTCGAGGTGCAGACGCAGTGCGTTGTGGAAGCTTTATTCCTGGACCTCCGCAGTGAAGATGAGAGCGACTGCCGGAGCCTGGAGACAGATTCAGGAGGTCAGGCCTGCGGGGGGAGGAAAAAATGGTTTGTTTGCTGCAGGTGCCAGAGGAGCGCTTCGACTGAACGCTTAAAGGAAGGAGGGTGTAGCTTGGGGTGGCTGGGTTTCCTAAAATGCAACCTTGTGATGACTTCCAAGTTACCTCTGATTCGGGGGAAAAGTTAGAGCAAGGTGAAGTCTGACTGTCGGGCACCCACAGCCGCGGTCTGCCGTGGCGGGGACAGGCAATGGGGGCTGCGAGGGACGGGCACCCGCGCTCCCGCCCGGGGGCTGCTGTGCCTCCCACGGGTCCGCAGGTCCTGAGCGACTGGCTCTGAACCAACCTGGTGGGACAAGTTTTAACTGTCATCAACAAGAAAGCTTATACTGCTGGTTTGCTTTAACGCGTAAGACAGAATGTGGTCTTTGCTTCCCAAACCCCCAATGCCATCTGGGCTACTTTGGTGTGCTGGGCAATGCTGCAAGAAACCCAGAATTTTGCCTGTCCTTGTGTTGCTTTTCCCATTATTTCCTTGGTAACAAACCAGTTAAAATGTCCTAAGAGACACCGGGGGAGGGTTGCTGACACCGGGTAGCAAACAAAGTCAATTTCTCAAAAGCTTCACGGAAGTTTGTCATTTTGCCTGAAAGAAAAGTCCCTGTTCAAGTATTGCTCATTTCCCTCTCCCAGATTAGACGCTTGTGCCTCTGCCTCTGCTGCGCTGAGCGCTGGGGAACTGCCCCAGAGCCCCGGGAGACGCAGGCTGCTGCCCAGGGCTGCAGGCACTGAGTGCCGGCACCTGGACGGGGGGACCTGGGCTGATTTTGGGGCTGGGTGAAGGAGAGTGGTTGGATCAGGAAGCAAAGCCTCCAGATAAACTTGCCCACTGCTCTGTGTCGAAATATCCTGCTTTCAGTTCCTTATGGCTTTGTCAAACGTGGAAATGGTTTTGCTGAAACTTTTGGTGTCAGGCAGCTCGTTCTGGCTGAACCTTGTTCTGGTAATATTCAGAGAAAAAAACCCTCTGCTGTTGTTTTTTCCCCTCAGGATGCTTTAAGGGAA